GCGCACGCGCGCACACGTGTGGGTACACATGTGTGTATGTGTATATGTGCGTGTATGTATGTCTTTATGTGTGTGCACACACACAAGCACATGTCTATGCACGCAACGTGTGTGTATGTGCATGTGGGTGTGTATGTTCATGTGGGTGTGTATGTATGTGTGTGTATACGTGTATGTACGTGCGGGTATATACGTGTGTGTGTGCATGCGTATATGTGTGTGTGTGCGCGCGCACATGTGCCCCCGCAGTGACTGTGGAAAGCAGAGCTTCAACTCGAGACAGACAGACAGACAGACAGGCAGCAGGAGCAGAGGCGGGACTCTTCTCTGCCGACCCTGCTGTCTAAGTGTAAGCTAAAGCCACTCATCACTTTTCGTCTTTAAAGGATGAGCTGCTGCCTTCCACCTGGACGCTGCTGCTCCAGTCCCATCCTCACGTTCCTCCGTGGAGATTTTCCGGCGCGTGAATACTGGCACGCAGGCCCCGAGCTCTGGGCGTCCCGCAGCTTCTCACACGCGGTCTCTGAGAGAGAACTCGCGCGGGGGCACCCAGACCTGCGCCCACCCTCGTCTCCTCAACACGCCCGCTGTCCCAGCCCGACAGACAGGACCCTGGAGACGCCCACACCGAGCTCCACGAGAGAAACACCCCATGCTCTGGCCTTGCACTCAAACCCAGGGAGAAAACCTGACCCGTCTGGGGTGGCGAGTCCGTGGGTGAACAGAATTCCGTAGGAAAACACTCAAAGTACATTAGATCTTTGGTCAAGACGAAGGACACATGCAAAAATAAACCAAGCAATCCATTCTAATTGGGTTCCCATGGTAACTAGGGTTGGCTTTCTCACTGCAGCGTCCCAAAGGCCCAATGCACACTTGTAAACTACACTTCAAACAGCCGGGATTGTTCCTAGCCAACAGCGGATCAATTCCTGTACATTCCCACCCCCGACTCCAACACTCCCTGCCGCACTAACCCACGTCACCGGGCGCCCCCCACCCACAGCGATTACAGAAACCGACCACACACTCCAGGTGAGTCAAGCCCACGGCGGCACTGTTCCGAGTCACATTCCCGGGGTGCTAGCCCAACTGCACACGGCACCGTTGTGCTCCCCTATTGATTCCCAGGGTGAGCAGGATCAATCATTAATAATTACATTATGCGATGGCCCTCGAGGTTAATCATATTCTCAGACTCTCACCGTGGAATTAAACATCCAACACGGCTCCGCTAACACATAAATAAAACAAAGCAGAACTGCGAGTTCACAGCCTCATTTTCCAGGGTCCATCCCGAGACAGGGGCCAGCCCGAGCTCGGGTGGCCACAGCATGTCACAGTCCACCCCCAGGGCCGGGGGCACAGCACCTCGTTGTCGCCCCGCTCTCCCCAGCTGTGTGACACCTGCAGGTGACAGCCCGGGCACCACGGGGACCCGGTCCTCTGGGCAAAGGTCACGCGGCTGCTGGGTAATGCCAGAACGGGGCGGGCAGCTCTGGCATCAGGGAAGGCCTGGGCGGGCTGGCCCCTGGCCGCAAGGGGAGCGGGGAGAGGGGCACATGTGGGGACCCTCGGGCAGCATCCTGGCCCCCGTGGGACAGTCAGAAGCAAGAGTCTCCCAAGGATGATGCGACGGACCCCAGAGGCATCTGTGCCTGGAGCCAGAGGACGCGCCCCAGTAGGGCCCCGGGCGCCCTGGAATAGGGACGCTCACGGGACTGAAGGGACAGGACCGCAGGGGCAGCATGCCAAGTGGACGGAGGGACTGGGTGAGCTGAGGGAGCAGGGCGAAGTCTAAGGAAACCAGGGTCAGGGGACATCACTGGCCTCCTCACAGCACGAAGCCCCTGGGGTGGCCGGGTCAGGCGGGAGACAAGCCCGGTCTGGGAGGACTGGAGGCTGCACCTGCGCACAGTCTGGATCCCAGCACTTACACACACACCCCTGACAAGCAGCAGATGTTTCTGGAACCCTCTGTGGCTTTGTCAGGTCTGCATCCCAGGCCCCAGGTGTTGGCTCCAGGTATGGGTGCAGGTCAGACCAGAGCCCCCCACTCCTCTGCCGAGACCCCGGCGCCAGCAAGGCCAGCTCACGCAAGGCCGTCCCAGGGTGTCACTGCTGCCGCGGGCCCTGCCAGCTGGGCTACCCCAGGGTGGACGTTCCAGGGAGCCCCGGGGCTCGGGCGAGACCTGCAGGGACCCACCTGCACACACGGGCATCCTCGCCACACGGCCACCCCTTCCAAGGTTCTGGAAGGTGGCAGAGGCCAGCCTGGCCTGGATGACTCCCTGGGACAGCGCCACTGAGCCTCGGACACCTGCCTGCCCTCTGCTTGAGGGGCCGGGCTCTGTCACATCACCTGAACCACATTTCCAAGGAAGCAGCGCTCTGCTCTCCAGTCGGCTCGGCTCCGGCAGACACAGCAGCGGCCCGGATGCCCCAGAACCCACCGGCGACCACACCTGGACACCCCCCCCCGCCCCGCCAGGGCCCCCGACGCTGCAGAGCAGGATCTTCAGCCTCCCACCCCTGCAGAGCAGCTCCGCCGTGGGCCGGGGCTCGGAGGTCACTGACCATCACACAGACCCGCAAGCGCCCGAGACACCTTCTCACACGCCTGCTCCGACAGCCAACACCGGCCCCAGAGCCACTGAACAGGAAGGGAACGAGCGCCTCGATCGCCCCAGGAGGCCAGAGACGTCCCCACGGTGAACCACGCACGAGCACTTCTGACGGAGAACGGGCCGTGTCCAGGGAGAGGCCTCACCGCGCCCAGCGCAGGGGCGCCCGGCCTGCAGACCCAACTGCATTGAGATTCTCTGCATGGCCGAGCCCAGAGACCTCGGGAAGCGCCGTCTCAGAAGCCGCCAGGGCAGTGGACTGGGGGCTCGGGTGGGCAGTACGGGTGAGGGCTCACGACCCAGAGCACGCCAAGCCCGAGGACAGTCGGCGCAGCCGAGGGACTGCCCCGAGGGGCGGGAGAGGGCGAGGAGAGCAGAGGCCCCCAGCCAGGCGACGGCCGGAAACGGCGTCCTGCCCCCTGGTCTGCGCCCACGAACACGCTCCACTGGCCAGGGCGGCCGGGCCCCCTCGGGAGCAGTCCGCGGGGCACCGCGCCCTCCGACACCCACCCGGATTCTTTTCACAGGCGAGCACTGAGGAGCAGAGAGGGGAGACTTGGCAGGACGTTCCCTGCCGGACGAGCGGCCGGGCAGCAGTGACGGGGGCACGGGGCAGGGACGCGCGGGATGGAGGCCCAGGTGCGCAGGAGGCGCGGCCCATGTTCCGGCGGGGGCAGCCTAGGGGGCTCAAGGAGCGGCGTCCCGGCCCTGGCTCCCGGGCGGCCGCACGAGTCTCCCAGAGGCACCTCGACCAGCTCTGCTGTGGGGCCCGGCCCGGCCGCCCCACCTGAAGAGCCCAGCGGAGCGGCCAGGCCGGCTCTCCTCAGGCTCCTGCCCAGCTGGGAACTGGGGTGACTGCCGGGAGGGGAGGGGCAGCCGAGCGGCTACTGGGGTCCAGCTGGGTCCGGGACAAGGGCCCCTCGCGAGTGCTCTGAAGTTTCTTTTCTTTCGCTTTGTTCGACTTTCGCCATATGGATTGAATTTTCACACCACAAATCACACCGCAAATCACCGGGTGACCGCGATTCATCAGGAATCGAGGACAATTTCTCAAGCCATCTGACTCTCAATATCCCATTTCTTCATTTCCGGCGTAGTTTTCACAACCCGAAGGTAGACAACTGAGGGACTCAGGAAAACAAACCACCTCCCGCTTGCTCACCTGAGGGCCCTGTGAGGGCAGCGGGTCCCCCCCTCACCTGAGGCCCTGACTGGGAGCAGGTTTCTCCCTCACCTGAGGGCCCTGCAACTGGGAGCTGATCCCTCCCTCATCTGAAGGGCCCAACTGGGAAAAGATCATTCCCTCACCTAAGGGCCCTGTAACGGGAGCAGATTCCTCCCAATCTGAGGTTCTAACTGGGGGCAGATCCCCGCCTCACCTGAGGCCCTGACTGGGAGTGGATCCCTCCCTCGCCCGAGGCCCTGACTGGGAGTGGATCCCTCCCTCACCTGAGGCCCTGACTGGGGGGCAGATCCCTCCCTCACCTGAGGCCCTGACTGGGAGCGGATCCCTCCCTCACCTGAGGCCCTGACTGGGAGTGGATCCCTCCCTCACCTGAGGCCCTGACTGGGAGCGGATCCCTCCCTCACCTGAGGCCCTGACTGGGAGTGGATCCCTCCCTCGCCTTAGGCCCTGACTGGGAAAGATCATTTCCTCACCTGAGGCCCTGACTGGGAGTGGATCCCTCCCTCACCTGAGGCCCTGACTGGGAGTGGATCCCTCCCTCACCTGAGGCCCTGACTGGGAGTGGATCCCTCCCTCACCTGAGGCCCTGACTGGGAGTGGATCCCTCCCTCACCTGAGGCCCTGACTGGGAGTGGATCCCTCCCTCACCTGAGGCCCTGACTGGGGGCGGATCCCTCCCTCATCTGAGGGGCCCAACTGGGAACAGGTCATTCCCTCAGCTGAGGGCCCGTAGTGGGAGCAGCCGCCTCCCTCCCCTGAGGTGCGGTGACCGGGAGCGGATCCCCCCTCGCCTGCGCCCTGACTGGGCCGTCGCCCCCGGGCTGCCACCCGCACTCCGCTGTCGCTGCTGGGCTGTCCAGCTGGACCGGGCCGCGCCCCCCCGCCCCCCCCCCGGGCCACAAGGCGCCCCTCAGCGCCTGGACGCGGCGGCCAGGGCCGGACGGAGACGGGAGGGGGCCGGCGCGAGGCTTCTGGAAGCTTCCCTTGGGGGGAGGCGGGGGCGGCCGAGGCCACGACCCGCTAGGAACCCGTGGGCGCGCGGCACGCACGTGGCCGCTCCGGGGCCCGGCCGGTGCGCGACTGGCGGGAGGGCGAGCTGGGCGCCCGGTCCGGCTCGGTCCGGCTCGGTCCGGCTCGGTCCGGCCCGGCCCGGGGTCCGGCGGGAGGAGGCCGCGGCCGCCCCTACTCACCGCGCGCCTGGCGCCGCCGCCGGCCGCCGGACACCACCACGCGCCGCGCGGCCGGGCGCGGGGCGGGGCCGGGGGCGGGGCCTGGCGGGGCGGGGCTTCGGCGCGGGCGCTGAGTGGCTGCGGGCCTCGGGGGCGGGGCCCATAACGGGCGGGGCCTGAGGAGGGGCGGGGCCTGAAGCCGGAAACGGGCCGGCGGTGAGGAGCGCCGCGGTCTCCCGGCCCAGGAGAGCTGGGCGGGGCCTGCGACGGGGCGGGGCCTGGACTGCGGAAGTGCCGCCGGGACGCGGGGCGGGGGCGGGGCGCGGGGCGGAGCCGTGCCTGCAGGCGCGGCCTGAGCGGAGCTAGGCGGGCGCGGGGCGGGGCCTCGCGCGCGAGGGGCGGGGCCTGGGCGGGGCCTGGGCGGGGCCTGGGCGGGGCCTGGGCGGGGCCTGGGCGGGCTGAGCGGATCTGGGCTCTGAGCTGGGCAGGAGCACGCTGCAACCCTGCCTGGTGCTGCATCCCGACCTGGTGCTGCATCGGGGCTCGCCTGGCCCTGCGCCTTCTCGGGGCTCCTGGGGGCAGCCCTGGGTGCCCTGCTTCCAGCCTGTCCCTCTCCTCTCCGGCTCGGCGGCCCTTCCCGCCCGCACCCGCGGGCCCCGCGCCTCGGTGCTGTCCCGTAGGTGCACACCTGTGCCCTGGGTGCACCGGGAGCCGCACCTCGCATCCGGGGTCCGCAGTGGGCCTCCCGGAGACCCTCTCCTCCGCGGTGCAGCGAGCACTCGGATGTGGGGACGTGGTGGGGGTCCAGCCGGACCTCTGGAGATGGGCCTTAGAGCAGTGAGCGCTGGGACCTCCCTGGGACCCGCCTTGGCCGCGCAGGCTGCAGGCTGCATGCCCACGGCCCTGGGACTGGACACTGCCGGTCACAGTGCCAATCCCGACAGGCCAGCTGTGCCCATCGGGGGCCAGCACCCAGAGCCTCAGGAGGAGGGACTGCCACCGGCCCCAGAGAGTGCCCACATGGTCCATGGATGGCAGGGGCCAGCGGCAGCTGAGGTGGAGACCAACCGGGACCAGGAGAGGAGTGGACGGGCCTTCCTCCCGCCTCCCCACCCCCCGGCCTGGTGCCTGCAGGGATGCTGCATCTGCACCACCCACAGATCCTGATGCAGAGCCGAGAGTGGGGTGGACACAGTCTCCGGCCCAAGGCCAGCACTGCTAGAGACCATGGTTCCAGAAGGAGCCCCAGACTGGCCCCTCCCCAGGGTCACTCCCTCCGTAGGCTAAGTTTGAGAGCCCCAGCGGGGAACTCGGAGTTGCCCCTGCCTCATCCTCCTGGCGTCCCGCCCTCGGCCACCTCACCCCACCCGCCTGCCCTGACTAAAAGCCTCAGAGGGAGCCGGAATCCCGGAAGGCAAAGGTCAGAGGTCTGGGGTGCAGTCTTGCCCCCGCCCACGGAGGCGAGGGTGTCTCCGAACCCACTCCATCTAGAGCTGAGCACCCCGTGAGGAGCCGAGCCCGGAACCCGCCCTCAGCCTTCTCTCTGCTCACTGCGCCTGGGGCAGCTTCCCCCCGGACCCCAGCAGCACCATCCATCTGGGGTCACTTTAAAAATCCACTCAGATGTCTTTCGGGTTGCGCCGATGAACCCATCTGTGGAATCTTAAGAGGCCTCGCTGAGCTCTGACTGCAGTGGCCGATTCAACAACGCTCCCTTCTGTAGTCAGACTAAATCCTGCCGCCCTGCCTTTGGGAACAGGCTGGATTTCATCACAATCACCTAAAACCGTGTGTGGTTTGCAAAGCCCCAGACACCCGCCTAGCGTGTGAGGGTCTGTGTGCCACAGAGAAATGGTTAGGAAGCTCGTCCCTTCTGGGGGCTTACGTACGTGACCGGCTTTCTCTCCGAGAGCAAGAGCGTCTCTGGCAGAGAGATGCTCAGATTAGCCCTATTGAATCTCTGTGCTGCCTGGAAGAGCTGGCCCGAACTGGCACCTTGCATCAGGGGTACAGCCTGGAGGTGGGACCCAGCACGCCAGACCTGGGATGTCCAGATGACACTCAGGGGACACTTGCTCTCTGCAGAGCTGAGCCGGAGACTGCAATGCCGCTGTGGCAGACGCACTGCACTGGCCTTAGCGAGGGCTGGGTGGGGGTTCGCAGCACCACCTCCCACCTGGGGAGTGGCAGGCTTCTCCCAGGAAGGGTGGGCATTCAGTCCTGAGATCTGGACACTCTGGAGGCTCCCAGGGGTGGAGCAGCCCGAGGGTCTCATCCCAAGGACTTGGACTGGCCTGGCTGATGCAGGGCTGGAGATGCTGCCCTTAGAGGGATCGATTCAAGCCCATCCCCTGCCCCATGCCCACGCCGAGCAGGGTGGGCAGAGAAGGAAGCAGGCCCGGGGCCACCCTCTGGGCCATTGAGTTGTGCGGGGCTTGGACTTGGAAGACCCCCGGGCCTCAAAACAGCGCTGAGCCACAGCCCCCTAGACAGACATGGCTACACGAAGGTGGTGGCTGCAGCTGCCGCGGGCGGGAAGCCCAGAGGAGAGCGGGAGCCCGTTGGTGCATCGGGACCCTGACTCTGCCGCTGGGCCCCACCCACCCCGGGACCCGCCCTCCAGAGGCCGCTTCCACACATGCCAGGGCTATGAGTGCAAGTGCCTGGAGCAGGGAGCACACACGTGTGCACAGGGGCTGCGGGAACACATGTGTCATGCACACAGTCCCAGCCGAGGCTGTCGGAAGGCGGTGCCAGGACCGGGTCACCCCTGCGGCCCCGTCACACTCGCCTCTGCAGCCACCAGGACAGGGTAGCCCCCGCGGCCCAGTCATACTCATGACCGAGTGTCTGTGACGTTTCCGGAAGGCTCAGCCTGTGCCACGCCTTGGCCATGTGGACGGGACCTTGTAAGGCTGTGAAGCTCTGGGGAGCCACAGGGGGCCACAGGGGCCTGGGGCTCCCCAGGCCGGACCCTTGGCCTGAGTAGACGCCTTCGTTCCTCCTGACCTGGGAACCTCAGGGAGATCGTGGCAGCTGGGGACACGCGGGTGTCGGCCCAGGAAACAGTACGGGAGAGAGAAGACACACGGGGAAGCCCCCACTCGCCCCCGCCCGAGGAAGGGCAGACGCGGGTCCTCTTGGTGTGCGCAGGGCAGGAGCCGGATGGCCCCCCTCAACCCACCGCCCTGAGGCTGCGCGGTTGGTGCAGACGCCCATGGCAGGCTGATACCCCGGGGGGATGGAGAAGGACTCCCTGCAAAGACATCCCGGGGTGCTCCTCTGGGAGCCAGAGAGACGGAGAGGGCGGGAGGCGTCTCCCCAGAGGGCCTCGGGGGCGGCTGGTGGGGCCTCCTCAGCCCTGGGCCTGCCGGGACTGAACTCAGCATCACACCCTCCTTGCTCTCCCAGTTTCAGCCACAGCCCAGGGCCCACGCGCCCACCTCACCCTGTATGCCCAGTGCCGGGACAGCTTAAGCTCACTAGCGCCCTCTGTCTGTCTGTCTGTCTGTCTGTCTGTCTGTCTCTGTCCTCTCTCTCTCTCTCTCTCTCTCTCTCTCTCTCCCCCTTTCCCCCCACCCCTGGAAAAACATGCGATCGGAGGGCTCTGATTGGCCCAGCCCAGATGACTGCAAACTCCAGACCAATCACAGTGGGGAAATGAGGTCCCTTCCCTGCTGGTCACCCCCGCCCCACCCCCGCCCCGGAGAAGGGGTGATGGGAAGGGTGACCAGGTCCAGGCCCCCAGCTGTATTGCGTGAGCTCAGGTGCTCAGTGGCCTGGGCGCCAGCCCTGTGACCCTCCTCGCCCCGCTGAGGAGGGCTGGGGGGAGGGTCTGACCATGTACAGGGCGTCTCTGATGTGGGCCATGCGGGGTCCCACAGCCTCGACCCACGGCACTTCCCCGAGGCTGGAGGGGCTGGGGTGCTGCCAACCTCCTGAGTCTCAGGAGGGTCTCCTCACTCCTCTACCTCTGCTGCAGGGCTGTGAGCTGGAGACTAGGAGGGATGCAGAGGGGGAACACGGGGAGTGGGGGGTCGCCCTGGGCCTTCTCAATCGCCGCCGAGGAAGGGGCGCTCTGAATCCTCACCCCTCAGGCAAGCATCTCGTCCTTCTCTCACAGCCCAACACAAGGCCCAGAGAGGCGGCGTGATCTGCACGGCCACACGGCAGTGGTGCTATGGGCATCAGGACCGTGGACTTGTCTCTGAAGGGGATTTGGGGCGGGGTCTCCGCCTCTGCGCCCCTCCTGGCGAGTGGCCCGGGCAGGGACCCTATTGGAATAAGCAGCTGGACGTGGCTCCTATCCCTGGGGGCCCAGGCCCTCGCTCCCCTGCTCACACATGTTCTTGGTTTAAAAACACGCTCTCAGGGCTGGAGCGATGGCACAGTGGGTACGGCGTTTGCCTTGCATGCAGCCGACCCGGGTTCGATTCCCAGCGTCCCATATGGTCCCCTGAGCACTGCCAGGAATAATTTCTGAGTGCAGAGCCAGGAGTAACCCCTGAGCATCACTGGGTGTGACCCAAAAACAAAACAAAAAACAAAACAACACACACACAAAAAAACTACGCTATCCCTGAGTGGCAGGCTGGGGGTCCCGGGCCTCGCACCACCCCAGTTTGCTATGGAGCCCTGGGGATCCCTGAGCACTGTTGGGTGATCCCCACTGGGCCCAACTCCCCCGCGTCCGAGCAGCACCACGGCTTGGAGCCAGCCCGCGGCTGAGAACCCCCATGGAGGGCCTGGTCCCCTGAGCACCCGGAGGGAAAATAGATTAAGTGAGTCTTGCACGACAAAATTTCATAACTTTGTGGGATGTGAGCTCCAACCCCAACTTACAGGCGAGGAAGGTGAGGAGTCAAGAGATCGAGTTCCATGCAGTTCCACAGCTGCACAGCCAAGAAAGGCGGGAAAGACTTACACAGAATGACAGATCCCAAGGGTGAGCCTTCCTGGGAATATTCACAAACCCCAGAGAGAGGAAGAAGAAAAAGCAAGTGAGCAAGAAAGGAGGGAGGGAGGGAGGGAGGGAGGGAGAGAAGGAGAGAGAGGGAGGGAGGAAGGGAAGGGGAAAGAGGAAGGGAAGGGGAAAGAGGGAGGGAAGGAGAGAGAGGGAGGGAGGGAGAGAGGGAGAAAGCGCAGAGCTCTATGTTAGCATTTTTGAATCGAGGAATTTAAAATCTTTTGGTAGGAAGGTATGACGGTGTGTTTCTAGGGCTTAGAATGTTATCCCGCTATTTGTTCTTCAAATAAAAGAATCAGAGTCGCTGACGTAGTCGAGAGCAGCTGAGGGGAGCGGCCGCTGATGGGAAACTCGCCTTCCTGGGCGGGAAGGCCGGCAGACCTGATTCCCGGATGTGTTGCATCTTGCAAATTTGATTTTCGTTTGCGACACTTGAGAATGCCGATGATTGGAAAAATATAACTTGATTATTAACCAGCTAGAAATAGTAACGGAGGGTTCGCTCTGGCATCTCTCCGTGCTCACGCGATAGAAATAAATTGGAAGCCGTCTAAATGGGAAACTAAAGGTGAGTTCGGAACCGTTCCTTTTGCCAAGCGTTTTTCTGGTCACCCCCCGTCAGGGAGCCCGTGGGCTGATTCCCAGGCACAGCCTGCTTTGGGATGAATAAAACCTCGAGCTGCGAGAGCGGAAAAGGTCACTTTGGATTCCACTCGCTCCGCCTTTTGGGAACTGAGCCTGAATCTTTCTCGAAGGAAACACGTTCCAGCCGCTCCATCTCCGCTCCCTTCCGGAGACACGAGTCATTTTTAACGGTTAAGCGCAGCGACCCGCTGCATTTTTCAAAC